TTTGAAAAAAAAAAAAAAAAAAAAAAACAAAAAAAAAGACATCAATTAGTACCTATATTAACCAACAAATTAAAAATTTACAGGTATGAAAAAAACAAAATAAAGAAAAATGAATTCAGCAGGTTTGAATTAAAATGTAATTGTAATAAATAATAAAGGAATTTATATAGGAGAAACAAGTAGACAACTTAATGCTGTTAAGATTAAAATCAAAGAACATTTAAGACTACAACACCATTGGTCACTTTGAATAAACAGAAACCAAAAGAAATGCTAATGTATAATAGATCAAGATATTAAAATGGTATCATTTGAGAGAAATCATTTAAAAAAAAAAATGAAAATAAGAAAACATTTTACTATTACAAAATAATTAAGAAATAAAAATGTAAATTTACTAAATTTGTTAATTATTTTGTTTGAATGTCATGGAGAAATTCTGTAAAGCAGAAGTTGTAAGTTTTTTTAAAATATTAATTATGTACTTGATATTTTTAGCTTTATGAAAGTATTTACTGATTATAGGCAAAACTATATCCTATGGTGTGTAATAGCATACTGTTGAGGATCAAAAGATCAAAATGCATTTATGAGAAAAAGAAAATAATGGTTTTAATTTAAGTCTTAATACCAGTTTATGGTTAACACATTTACCTGGGATGAAAAGTCAAGAAAGCGATAAGGATAACTACTAATTTTTATCAAAGTTATATTAAAAATATATAAATTTTGATAAAATTTTAAGCACAATAGTATTTTAACAATTTGTCCTAAATACTATATCATGAATTTAAAAAAAAAAAAAAAGAAGAGCAGATGGTGAGATGCTACATAGAGTTCAAGATGTTAAGATTTTGAATAGAGATCTTCCTGGTAAAATTCACCTTACAAGTAATATTCAGGAAATTCAAGAAATCCAGCAAAAATTTAATTAAGTGAAAAAATAGGCCTATCTTTATCTTTCAAAAAGAATTGCATAATTTGTGATGAAACAAGTGTCAGTTTAGTTCTTTTATTGTTTACAAAAAAATTAGACAAAAACACACTGCAAAAACTTAACAAACCTGCAATAAAATTATACACAAAGTGCAAATGTTATTGCCTGCGTTAGGTTCACACTAGAATTTTAAAATCACTTGGTTTTTATAGTGTTTACTTTTGTCTAATATTAACCAGTTGTAAAGTAGCAGTTGTTAACTTACAAAAAAAATTATTGCTAAATTATTAATCATCTTTAAATAAGAAAAAATTTCAAGTTCATTTAAACTTGTGAATTATAGACTAGGGCTGTTTTTAATAGGTCAGATTGGATAAAATATTAAAAATTGCACAAAGGTCTGAACAAGTCTAAATTTCAACAGTAGTTCTTTATTCTAATCATCAATATATCATCATTAAGAAGCAACAAATATTTTTGTTATGCATATATTTATGTATGAACATAGCAGGCTTGTGAAACAGTATGAAATCCAAAAGGCTTTCCTTTTTTTGATGGAAGCATTCATTATTTAGGAAAAATACCAAAACTCTCCAGAAAACTAGTCTCCAATGAAGTAAAAATATATGACTTATATCTAGATTGTTACATTTAAAGCCAAGTGTTAGATCATCGTTCCAACTCTCCTAACAATCTTCCAGCCTACAAAAAATTCAGCTTAAGTACTCACATATAGCAAAATTACCAGAGAACTATCCCATCCTGTCATCCCATCTGCTAAAATAGGCAAAATTGATATTGACCAAGCAAAATCTTTGGTTGCACCAACTCTAAGTTTATGCATTCAAATTTAATATAGAACATCTACATTAAACCTCATAAAGGTAAAAAAACTCAAAAACATTTCAATGTAGTAAGTTATGTTTCCAGACTTTTAAAATTGATATTAATTGAGATAAAAATCAAGATTTTAAAGATCAATAATTTCATAAATGTTTTGTTTGAAGCATAAAGTCTCTCACAATTAGTGAAATTGCCTAAGAACATTTCCTGTTATTTTGTCAAATTACACAATATAAATTACTTCACAAACTTCATTATTACCACACACATTTAATAAAAAAGTATAGTTTCCCACAAAGTAAAGTTTATATCATATATATATATATAACAGGGGCAGGTATTTAATAATCAAATTCTTTACTTGGCTTCAATTTAACTGGAAAATATCTATATATTTTAATTATCATCTTTCATGTTTCAAAAATATACTCTGTTGAAATTTAGATTTTTATATATAACCAATTAGAATATTTTAACTTTGCAGCTGTAAAATTATCAACAGATAGTTATAAATATTTATATTGGATGATGATAATTTAGCTTATTACTAAAATTTAAATTTTTACAAAAATTATACAAGAATAAAAATCAGTGGTGCATTATGGATATGAAGAGCTTTACGCTTAAGTTTTAGGAACCATTCCAACACTCTTCCTATATTGTACTTAATTTTTTTACTAATTATTTTTGAAAATGAGCAAACAAAACACACTTAGAAATAATAAAAAATTGATACTGTAATTTGTTTCCCTTAATTTTTAAGACCAAATAAACTTGGAATCCTATGTAAATGACATTTTTGCCTATAACATACCATTTCTGAAATAATTGTTATAAATCTAGAGTTAATATCATTGACAAAATAAGAAAAATTATTATGTCTAAAATGTATTTCCATGAAGTAATGAATTGCTTTTGAAAATTGAATATTCCTGGGCTAATGTGTACAATTATGTAAATAATTT